CCGGACCCCCGCCCCGCGCCCCGCGCCCGACGGGGGTAGCCGGGGCCCCGCCCCCGAGCACCTGGGCCGCTCCGTGCCGCTCCCCGCGGGCCGCTCCGTCACGCTCCAGCCTTTTCCATGACGCAAGGACAGGGAAGCTGGAAAGTTTGCGAAGCCTCCAGGCGAGGCAGCGCAGGCAGCCCGGCTCCATCCCAGGCCGCCCCCTGCCGGCCCCCGCGCTCCCATTAGTCCCCCTTTGGGCAGAAGGGGAAACTGAGGCACGCGGAAGCGAGGTGACCTTGGGCGAGTCACCTCGCCTCCGCGTGCCTCCTCGCCCAAGGTTACTCCCACCAGTGGCAGAGCCTGGGTCCCAGCAGCCCACTGCTCTGCGCACCAGGCCGCAGCAGAGCCATAAGGCAAACAAGTGCACAGGTTTCACGAGCCTCAGCACCCCGAGCCAAGTTCCCTCACCAAGGTACCAGCCAGCAGCTCCCCTAGGGAAAGCAGAGCTGGTATGAATGGAGACGAAGTGAGAAGAGAGTCCAGCCCCTCATGCATCCTCTGCTCCCCCACGGAGATCTGACAGGATCACACAAGCTGCTGCCTGCGAGGCACCCACGCAGATTCTGGCTACAGCAGCTCATAGGCTCATACCTATTAGCTCAGCAGGGCACTGCCAGTATTTTAGGCTTGTATTGGCTTCACACAGGCCTGGTGCTTAAAAATAGCAATTCATTAATAGCCTTCAGATCTTCCCAGCCTTGGGATCCGAGGGTTTTGTTTAAAGTGTGGCCAGGGAACATAGTAACAAGCATCGACTATCCTGTGTGATCTCGGGGACAGAGCTAGATCTTGGGGCTCATTCTCCCTTTTCTATTCCCAGGTCTCTGATTGAGATCAAAGGCAAAAGCAGGTGGGACACATGGGGCTGGATTGGGCAGCAGGTAAACATTTGGGAGTCCTGCTCCTGCTGATGCCAGGTTGGAGTGAGGCCTAGATCCCCCAAGCTCTGCTATCCAGGCAGATCTCTGTGCTGGGTACCTCCCAAGGGTGTAATGGCATTGAGGAAGGGGAAAGGTCTCAGCTCTCCTGGCTCACACCCCCCCCCCCCCCCCCCCCCCCCACCACACAAGCCCCCCCCGCTGAGCTGAAAACCTGAAGTCCCCAGCCAGCAGCCTGATTTCAATCCAACAGCTCTGTTTTCATGCACAAGCCTTCTGGCTTTCCATGTCCTAGACCTAGACTATACTTTCAGGGATCATTTCTTTAGTCTGTACTTACCTGGCAGGGGAAACACCATGTATCTGGATCCAAGAAGGCAGTTTTCCTTAAGCCTCCCAGGAATAACTTCTTCTGGCATGGTTTAGTACCCGCCAAGGTGTTGGGGCTTAATGCCCATATTATGGAAATGGAAGGTTTCTCCCTAGCTTGTTCCTGCAGCCATATGGCTGAGGGCAGGCAAAACTTGGGGGCATCCAAACCCCCATAGGGCAGCCGGTGCTGGCTTGAGGCCTGTCATTTGCATTGGCAGATACCAGCCACAGCGATTGCTGTACCTTGACTCCCAAGCGACTCCCTTCACTGACTTTAAAGGGCTACACCCACTATTATGCTTTGCCCAGTCTTATCAATCGTCTCCTCCGCAAGATGGGTACAACTGGCTACCAGATCAGGACAATAGCTTTTTCTGCTGGCTCTGCAGTGGTCTAAATCAGGGGCGGCCAACCTGCAGCAGGTATGCCACAAGTGACATGGGCAGCCTCTGGGGAAGCAGCAGGCAGCACAGCGGCAGATCAGATGGGGAGAAATCAAAGCAGCAGATGGGACAAAAGAGGGGGACTGGAGTAGCACTTGGGAAGGGCGCAGGGTTACTTTGTGGCATGCCTGGTCTAAATGACTGCCCTATGGCAATGGGCAGTCATTTACAAAGCTTACAAAGAAGAATTTTCCCCACTATTTGGGTTGGTCTAATAAAAGATATCAGATTTACCAAAAAAACCTCATCTGCCTCTGGCAATGGAGAATCCAGCCCTGCCACTCCTGCTCCCGAGGTCACGCCTCTGTCCCTGGAACAATCAGCTTTCATGAAAAGCCCAACCCTGCCAAGGGCTGAGCAGCTTTAACTCTTTTCTTCTTTTCTTCAGCCTGAAAAAAAATGAAGGCTGGGAGGGGACTTGGTAGCAGCTTACTGCTACATCAGAGGCGTACATCAAGGGCACCCTTGGGGAAATCTAGGAGTAATGGTCACAAACTCCTGGAAGACTGTTTCAGGCTCAATATTAGGAAAAACACACAACTAGGGTGTCCAGATTGTGGAATAAACTCCCTCCAGAGGTGGTGCAATCGCCTACCCTGGAAAACTTTGAGAGGAGACTGGACAGTCACCTCACTGGGGTCACCTGACTCCCAGTTATCTTTCCTGCTTGATGCAGGGGTCTGGACCCGATGATCTTCTGAGGTCCCTTCTGGCCCCTTACAGTCTATGAATCTATGAACTCCTGTGGAAATCAGCTGGAGGTGAAGCCAGTGTGTGCAAACCCCTCAGCACAACCCTGCTGCCAGCTCCTGGCACCCACGACACTGTACAGATTTGCGCCAGTAGACGGCAGGCATTGTGGGGGCCTGACATCATTTGGGCATTCACATGCCAAGATCCAGCCCTGCACCATCCAGTTCGGACCCTGCATGCCTGGACCTGGCCTGACACTGCCCCACCCCGTGCAGCCAGATTGGGCCAGGCACCGCCACAGCGCTGAGTGTCCAGAGCCGGGGCCACATCCCAGGGGTGCGGTTCGACCCCGCTTCGATGCCGGCTCTACCCAACGCTTGAAACCAGCTGCCTGCCGGCGGCGATGACACCATCGCCAACCGGCCAAGGGAGGGTCAACTGAGGACCTGGCTCCCTGCCCACCCCGCGCCGGGGTGCGCATGCGCGCAGGGGAACTCCGGGCAAGCGTCCTGTCGGCCGGGCCGGGCTGTCTGCACCCCA